AAAACGTAACTAGGTAACACACAATTGATAATAAATTGTACAGGGAGTCTGCCTCAATGTAATTAAACATTTATTGAGGCTCTACTATCTTATATTAAAAATTAATATTTTCACAGATTAAGTGTACTAAAATTGGGCACATGTATAGCTTGACATTAGCTTCAAAATGATTTTTAGTTGTCATTAAAACCCCAAATAACAGGACCAGATATGAACTATCAGTGATAGTTGTATAATGAGAATAGAGTCATAACTCACCTTCAGTGGGTATTTCCTGATAGGTGAGCCAACAGTCGCACGAAACATTCCAACCAGCAAGATGAAGAAGGAAAACGATGTGTTTGTTTTTAGTTTATGAAATATGTATGTAAAAAAGTAGACACAAATATAACACACCCACAGATCAAAAAAGAAAATTTTACAAATACAAACACCACCTCTTAGGCATTTTCCCTAGATCACATTCCCCCTCCTTCATCCAAGAGGTGACCACAAACCTGACTTGGGTGTTGCCCATTAACCTGTGTCTAAATAAGTGTTTGTAGCACATACTTATACATCTGTTAATACTTATGTCATTTTGCCTGCATCTTTAAATTTTATATAAATGGTATCTTCCCACATGTATTCATTTTTTTTCCTTTTGCTCAACCTGCTTTTGAAATGTACCCAGATTGATATATGAGAAATGATCATTCATTCATTCATAACTCCTCTCTAGTAGTCCGCTATTCATTCATTTATAGCTTTTGTATGATATTCTATTATATATTTATCCTTTATATATTTATCCTTTCTCCACCTTAGGCATGCTTGGTAGGTTTCTAGTATTTCTGCTACTGTAATCGATGTATCGAAGGACATTTTTGCACAAGTTTGGGCACGTGAGAGCTTCGTGGAGGGTACACCACAAGCGTTTCCAACATGAGATGAGCGAGAGCGGACTGCTGGGTCCATTGCTTTCTCCCTGAACCCACGGTTAGGGGCTTGTCCAATCCTGTGCACACATACATAAATGAGTTAAAAATATCTTTTAAGGACTGAAAAAGTTTATAATGACATTATGTCTATTTCCCCCAATTCTCCAGGTGTTGTGGACAACCTGTGAATTCCAAGATACGTTATAGCAAACAGTAGTATACTGATTCTCAAGCTAAATGAAACCCACAGGAATGTGGGATGTGCTCCCACACTAATGACACCCTTGAGCTGAGGCTATAAGACTGTGCGGTGGAAATGCAGCAATACAAGTCTATGTGCCAAAGGGCACCGTTCAGAGCCAAATGAGCAGGCGCCAGGGAGCCCCGACCTCTGTCATTTGAACTGGGACGGAGAGATCTGTATAAGGTGGTCTGAGAGGGCAATGCAGTCCAGAGGCAGAAACCAAGTTTCTAAAGTTTCTAGTTCTCTCTAGAAAGGTAACCCCACCCCACCCCCGCAATTCAGTGAAGAACAGGCCACGAACGTGTCAAGTGCCCACACTGAAGTGCACGGAGACTACAGCATTTAAGCCTCTGGATGGCCGGCAGGTGGGCAGTTTCCAAAGCGATCGCGGAGACCGATGTGGAGAAAGATGGGGGCGCTGGCGCTTCTTCCCCACCAGCTTCCTCCCCTCCCTTCCTGCCTCCCTTCTCGCCTTTCAGCTTTCCTCCTGTCATTCTCTGCTATAATTAAAACAAATAGAAAGCGTGCAGGTGTCTGCTATAAAGCATTTGCAGATACTGTGTATAGCATGAAAAAAAATAAAAAAGCAACTGCAAGTTGTGTAATTTGGTATTTAGAAAAAACCCGAGAGATTTCTGGAAATAAACACATCTTTCATCCTGATAGATTTTGAGTTTTCTTCCTGTTTCCACTTTAGCACAGTGCATCACCATTCCCTCGCTGCCTTGCACAGGAAGTTTCCGCTCTTTAGTGCGGCTACTATTTTAGGAGAAATGGGAGATTTCTGCAGGGTCCGGTGCAGTTTTGGACAGTGTTTCTTTATGTCCAAACAACACCCCCACCCCAAGAATAACAGCAGCTGTAAGTTACTAAATGTGGAGAAAAAGTAAAAATGTGCTGAAGATATTATCTGTAGTACTTGGAAGGGACCTTCCTTCCCCAGAGGAAACCAATATACAGGTACAGATAATATTGGGAACACTCCCATGCTTTCTTGGGACATCCATTTAGGTCTACAAGTCATTTTTAAAAATCTAGTCTAAGGGCAGACCATAGCTCTGATTTGAGCTTAAGGCTTAGCTATGTCTTCCTCTCCCTTGACTTTCAAATTTCTCAGGGCCATGGAAGGGGTACAGGGCTGGGGAAGTCAGTTAAAGCAACAAAGATCTCAGATTCTCCAGTCAGACAGGGCTGGGATTTAAATCCTGGCTCTACCAGTAACTGTGACCATTGGTGAAGTGACTTAGCCTGTGCTTTTGTCTCCTCATCTGTAACATGGGGTCAGTCATTCTATGCGCATCGTGGTCATAATTCTTGTGAGGACAGAAGGAGAGGTACTTACTGCCATGGTGAAGTGTAGACAGTGATAGTGGAGCTAGTGATGGTGCAGGTAGTGGTGATACCTTTGCTTCCCCTCCTTTTAGAGCCCCATAGTGCCATCTTCCCCGGGTCAGATCCATTCATCCACCCTCCCATCCACCCATCCATCATCTATCCTCCATCCATCCATCCATCCATCCATCCATCCATTTATTCACTCATTCAACAAATACTATAGACCTCTACTATGTGCCAGGCATTGTTCTAGGGTTCTATAAAGCAGTATATGCTTGTGTGTCCACTAATATCTAATATAAAGGGGAAAAAAGCATGCAATTAGTAAAAACTTAATAGTGATGAAAAACAGGTGACATGTAAATACATTCCAGGACATTAACATGAGGTTGAAGAAAATGGCCGTGGATATTAATCATGCTACATTTCCACACCTCTATCAAAAGTGTACTGCCTTTTTACCCCCGGTGGCAAAACTTTGCACAATAAATTAAACGTCCCCTGGGCAAAACACAAAGCCCGTGAAAGCATTCTCCATCCTACCAAGAAATTTATAAGCCCCAGTAGAGCCATCACTATTTGAGTGGCTTTTCTATTTGACCCAAACTTTATTTCATAGAAGAGTATAGTCATCAGGCAGTTATTTTTCTGAGTTCAGTGGAAAATATTTTGTTTCTTTCTCGTTCTCTTTCCTACTGGTCTTCTTGCTTTGTTTCTTCTGTTGCCACTGAATACTGCATACGTGTCTTCCCTGAAAGCCAGGCCATCATTCACTCACTCACCCGCTCACTCATTCACTCCTTTTCACTCACTCAATATTTATTGACTGTCTACTAGTGCCTGGAATTCGCCACTCCTTTCCTTAATCAGCAGTAATGGTACCCTATGATATACGTCAAGCCCATAGTCTTCACTCTAGTTCCACCCTTAGAATTTCCTATTTTTCATTATGACTGTCCACTCTAGATAGGTAGCAGGAAAGACCTTTGCACATGCATCATATTAATTTTCATATTTATGCCTTTGTTCTTTTATAGCATTCTGCCTACCAGCACATTGTCAACCATCAAAATCCTTATAATTAAAAGTCTTGCCCACGACTCACTTCCTCTATGTAGGATCCTAAGATAATTCTAGCTTGGCTGTTCCCAAACTTTGTAATTTCGATGCTAAACAGAATGAGTCAGAAATGTATGATCCTCTTCCAACTTGGCAGGGAAATGAAAACTCTTAGCACCATGACTATTGTGCTTAGTACCTTTCTTACATCACCTCAATCTAATTCCCACAGCAATCCTATTACTATTCCCATTGTACTGGTGAGGAGACAACAATTTAAATAATGTGTTATTTTCCCAAAGTAGCAGAACTAGGAAGTGATAAAGCTGCTATTCAAACTCAGATCTACATAATTCCATAGCCCGTGATCTAAAACAGTGAATTTCAACCTCTTTCGTCTCATGGCATACATAAACTGATTACTAAAATTCTGCAGCACACCAAAGAATATATCATAATTTTTGATGGCCTGACAAAAAAAAAAAGTATAATTTTGACTTATTCACACTGGATGGCTATCATTGTGTTGGCTGTTGTCATTTTTTTATTTGACAATCTAAGGCAAAAGAGGTCAGCCCTGGCTGTTTGGCTTAGCAGATAGAACATTGGCCTATGGACCAAAGGGTTGCAGGTTCAATCTCTTTCCCTCTCTCCATTCCACTCAAAATCAATGGAAAAATGTCCTTGGGTGAGGATTAAAAAAAAAAAGAAAAGTCAGTGTCTCTGACTAAACAGTCAGGTATTGCATGTTTAAAAAGTTCTTGCAGCACACCAGTTGGAAATTGCTGCTCTAAAATTTTGTGCAGTGTTGCCTCTCAGAAATATAAAATATGAAAGGTCTAATTTGCTATCGATTTCTTCCCAAACCCCACAGACAAACTGCCAAAGTTGAACTTACCACATGTTGAGATTTAATCCAGGATTTCTCTTCCTTAGCACTATTGACACTTTGGGCCCAGTAATTCCTGGTCGTGGGGAGCTCTCCTGTGAACTGTAGGCCTCGCAGCATCCCCGGCTTCTACCCTCCAGATGCCAGTAGCATCCTCCTCCCAGTTATAACAATCGGAAATGTCTCGGAGATTGCCATATGTCACCTTAGATGCAAAATTCCCCCCGGTTGAGAACCAGTGGCTTTATTCAGTCTTACAATACGGACACGTCTAAAGACAATTATAAACTATATGAATATGGGAATAGCTGGACTGTGCACAAACATATTGTCTATGAATAGCTCCGTAAGATGTCTTAAGAAGCAACGGCACTGTCATTTAATGCAAATGCAATGTGAAGCATTACTCAAAACTATACTTTTTAAGGAAATGGAGCTTGTGTAAGAATACAATTTTATTTTGTCTGTGGAAAGAGAATAGTTTCAAAACTTATTTCAAACCAAGAAAAACAGTAACAGTGAAACCTTTATAAGGTTAGCATGTAATGAATGTTCAGGAAACCATCGATACAATCCAGTTGAAAAGGCTTCCTTCTGATACGATGCAACCATTAGCAAGATCAAAAAGTCTCTCAAGATTGAATATGGATTGCAGCGAGACCTGAAATGGAACCTGAGAAAAGAGCATAAAAATGTTCATGAAACGCATTGTTCTGAACTGCTGACTGAGGTAAAGTTCTCAAAATACGCAAATACCAATTCCATAGAATAATTTTATGGGAACGATATATACTTCTTGCCTAAGGTAAGACACAGTTTTGCATCTTTATACTGCTGAGATGTCACATATATCACTCTACATCCTATTAAGATTCACATCTACGAGTCTATAAAACAGCATACCGATTCATATCTGTGAATCTGGAAAATTGAACCTATAAAACAGCAGATACTTCCAGAAATATGGACTCTTTGTATTTACATAATCATTGTGTATGATTCTAAGTGAAGGACCTTGGGCTCTGCCCTGATGAAATGCTTTCCTCCATAACAGATTGCCCAGTTGACACCTCTCCGTCTCTCGTTCTGAGCTTCAATCCTGCCACAGCGAAGCAAATAGTGTTAGGAGCCCACTCTCTGAAAGAGGCACTGTGCTACTGCGCCAAGGACTGGTGGAGCCAAAGTCATCTGAGAGCCCTGAAAACGGGAAATAAAACTGCTTTTGTGGTGGAGACACTGGTTATGGGAGTGGGAGGAGGGCAGAAATGGGAGAAAAACGGAGGAAACACATGTTTACTGGGACCCATTTCGTGCACATCTCGATCCTTTTGACGATGAATGACGTCATGTGGAATGACCACAATGAGTTAGGTCCTTGTGGGCCTGAATCCTGGTAAAAAATTAGAGGAAACGTTTTATTAAGTCCTTGTCTTATTTGTTAAATGAAACTGTTATTCTCAAGAAGACATAATGACCCTGAAAATGGAGGCTAGTTTTTCTTCATTTTATTGGATTAAAATGGACAAAAGTATTCCAGTGTTTTCTGTAAGTTTGAATAATAAAGAGGTAAATAAATAAAAAGTACTACTGTCCCCTTTCTCACCAAATCTTGGAGTGGTGTCAGCAGCCTGCGGAGCATTCTTTCAAAACTGTTAAAATCCTCATACGAATGTATATTCATGTGGGTCTTTTCTCTCTTCCTTTATGTTTTTTGAAATAGAATAACTAGACTTCCATTAATTGCTTTTTCAATTACCAGTATGTAAGGAAAAGCCCTCCCTAGTCCATCCAGGGCGGCGGAACCACCACACGGAGGTCAGGAGGGTGCATCCTGGATAAGGCCGTCTGGCTCCCACTTAGACCGCACCACACACCAGCTGTGTGAGGTTAGGCAAACTGTTTGATGCGTTTTAACTTTCATTTTCTCATCCATAAAACGGAAATAATAATAATTCCTATATAGTATTGTTGTTACAAGAGTGGAATGAGTTTACACTTATCAAGCGCAGTTGACCCTTAAACCATGTTGGGGTTAGGGGTGCCAATCCTCCCACACAGTTCAAATCCAAGTATAAGTTTTTTGACTCCCCCAAAACCTAATGACTAATAGCCTACTGTTGATGAGAAACCTTACCGATAGCATGAACAGTTGATTAACACATATTTTGCATGTTATATGCATTACTATATTCTTACGGTAAAACAAGATAGAAAAAGAAAATCATAAGGAAGAGAAAATACATTTATAGTACTGTAGGTATTTATCTTAAAAAATTTACATATAAGTGGATTCACACAGTTCAAATCTGTGTTGTTCAAAGGTCAACTGCTCTTACAAGGGTGCCCATCACACCCAATAAAGGCTATGCTATCATCACTATTGAACACATTCTTTTGGCTATATAACAATGCATGCAATGGACATATCCTAATTTATTCAGTCACTCACCAAAGAGGCTGTTTCTAGTTTTCATACATGCTCATTTATTTATACATCTCCTGGGTGATGGTGCTTTCATTTCTGTGTTACTGATTCCCCAAGGTGGTCGGTTTAGTCAAAGGGTGTTTACATTTTACTTTTTAACATTTCCTGCCAGATTACCTTCCAAACAAGTTTTGGTAATTAACACTTCAATCAGAAATATGTGAGTGTTTTTGCACACCCAGAGTAGCATATTATTATGAAATATTATAAACCTTTTTTTTGTCACTTAATGACTAGTTTTATTTATTTAAAAAAATGGGAAACATCCTGGAGAGCTTATATTAATTAGTTTATTAATATGTTGAAAGTATGTGATTACCATTATTTTACTATATCTCATTGCTATTTAATTGCACTAAACATTTAATTTACTATATGGTGATGAAAGGCCTCACATCCAATAATCCCCTTTAGCAGATCATTTTCAAAGTAGTATACACAGAAAATAATAATTAACATTAAAATATGTGTGTTTTCTCTGGTGCTGTATCTGTTATTGTAGAATTTTTCTCATATTAAAGATGAATGTATAAAAAAATACCAAAGTGTCCAAGTTAGTTTTAGATAACATTAGAAGTATCTTTATGACATAATTTATATACTACATCCAAATAGAGCACTTAGGCCTCTGACCCTTGACAATGCACCTGCAGACACAAGTGGTCATTTGTCAAAGGATGAAGATTAATGGCTGAATTTATTTATGGAGGCCACAAGGGAAAGCTCAGATCAGGAAGATAAAATAAAAAGAGCTGTCATCCTGGAGTTATTAATTCTTGTTCATCCTCTGGAGAACACAAATTACCCTAAAATGTCAGAACTCACACTTATGTTATTACTCCTACCTTTCTAGACACCTAAGCATTTAAGCCCTTAGGTGGACAAGTCTAATGCTTCAAATTCCAGTTATTTCTATTATGCTATAACACAGCAGTCTTCATCTTCCTGTTGCTGAACACAATTCTTTAAATGAAGTTTCGAGTGAAGTATAACATAGAAAAAGAAGAAATCTTAAGTGTATAACTTGATCCCTCCTCCCTCCCCCAAATAAATATATCTTCATAACCATCACAAATCAAGGCATAGAATTGGCATCCAAGAAGTCCCCTGGTGCTCCCTCCAAGTCCTGCCCTCCTTCCTGCAGAGTAACCACTATTCTGGTTTCTATGCTGATATTTTAGTTTTATGTATGTGGGGTGTGTGTGTGTGTGTGTGTGTGTGTACTATGTTTTTTAAACTTTATTTAAGTAGAATCATAAAATATTTGCCCTTCTGTGTCTGTTGTTTTTGCTCAATGTTGTGTTTCTCAGATTCATCCATGTCAGTGAGTATTAACAATAGTTTGTCCATTCTTATTGATACATAGTTTCCATTGTATGAATGTATCACTATTTTCTAATTTTCTAGGTGTTAGGCATTTGTATTATTTTAAATTATTTCAAAGCATTATTTCAATTTTTCTTTGCTCTTATGAATATACACAGGTACACATTTTTGTGAGGTATATACATAAAAATGGAATTTTCTGGGACATTGAGTATGCATATACGTATTTATCTTTAAGCTGATTCTCCCAAACAGTTTTCTAGAGTGATAGGCCACTTTATACCCCCACAGTAATGCATGAGGGAGTCAGTTATTTCATATCTTCACACACTTTGATCATTTTACTTTTTAATTTTAGACATTCTGTTGTATGTTTTGAGATATCTCTTCATATTTTTAATGTCATGTCTGTAACAACTAATAATATTAAAAATGCGTTTCTTGGTCTCTGTTGAAACGCACATCTTTTATCCTATTAACATTGAGTTGTCTTTTTGTTACTAATGTATATGGGAATTCTTAATATGTTCTGGAAACCAGCCCTTTGCTGGGTGTATGTAAATATGTTTCTCCCACTCTGTGGCTTGCCATTGTACTCTCTCTCTTACTAGCGTCTTAACATACAGTCCAACGTATCCGTCTTTCCCCTTATGACTGGTATTTTTCCACAGGTCCTATTTTGAAAATTCTGCCATTACCAAAGTCATGAAGATAATCTATAATTTCTTCTAGATGCTTTATTGTTTATTTTTCATATTTAGTTCTACAATCGATTCAGAGTTGATTCTGTATATAGTGTGAGGTAGGGATCAAAATGTATTATTTTTCTATATAGATGCCCAGTTGACCCAGATCCATTTGTTGAAAAGGCTTGTTCCTCACTGTACTGAAGAGCCAGCTTTGACATAAACCAGGAGACTGCATATGTGTGGATCTCCTTCTGGACTCTATTCTGTTCCCTTGGTCTATATGTAAACTTATTCCAACCTGACACTGTTGTTGTAGTTCTTTAAGAAGACTCGAAAACTAGAAGTGTAAGCCTGAAGCTTTCTCCTTTTTCTAGATGGTCTTGGCCAGATTGTCATTTGCATTTCCATATAGATTTTCTAATACACTTTAAATGATAGCTTTTTAAAAATTTCATATCTGTTTTTCTGTTATACAAAAATAAAATTTATATTTACATTAATATTGTATATAAAAACACTGCTAAATTCATTTATTCATTCTAAGGGTTGTTTTGTTTTGTTTTGTTGAAGGCTATTTGGGATTTTCTATACCTGTGAATAATGAGAATTAATTTCTCCCTTTCCCACAGTTATACCTTTATTTCACAGGTAAGATCTCAATACAGTGTTAATGAGAAGAAATGACAGGTTGTCACTGACTAGCTGACTCATCAAGCCAGGGGAAAGGAGGAGGCTTATGTAATAAATGGCATTGTAAACTTGTTTACTACTAAAACTCATCCTTTTACTTATATACCTTGTGTAATGTTTTTGTTCAACTTATTCCTAGGCATTTTCTAGTTTTGTTACTGTTGTGAATGAAGTTTAAAATTTTCTATTTAAAATGGTTATTCTTTTTTTTTTTTTTATCCTCACCCAAAGATGTTTTTCTATTTATGTTCAGATAGAGTGGGAGGGAGGGAAGGAGGGAGGGAGAGAGAGAGAAGGAAAGAGAGAGAAACATTAATGCGAGAGAGACACATGGACCAGCAGCACTTGATCAGAATCAAACCCACGACTCTGGTCCATGGGCTGACACTCTAATCACTGAGCCAAACTGGCCAGGGCTAAATGGTTATTCTTAATAGTTATTGATTTTTGTATCAGCCATTTTATCAGATTCTCTTAATCTAA